TTCATAAATTGCCACAGCTTTATTAATAATTTGAAAAACTTCTTTATAATTAACAAAAGAAACCCATTTAATTTTGTTTTTATATGAGACATTATTTAGAATCAGAGTTCTTTAGTTGTCATTATGTATTGTGCTTTGAGTAAAATTAAATTATAATTAGAATCATCAAAGCATAACATCATTCATTAGACAAAATATTATGAAGATAAGACATTCAATTTAAATAAAGATTCAATAAGTTGGGTATTTAAAAATCGATGCTTTGTCCTAAATTGTAAGTCCTTCTTGAAAACATAAAACAATGCATAGCATCTACTATAATGATAAACTAACTAATATGCACAAACAGTCATATCATGACTAATTTCATTTTATTTGTTTGAAACCTTTGTTAAAAAAATAGGATCATTTAATAAAATAAAGATTATTTGTTTAACTTCAATAGGAAACAAATTCATAATTAATTTGAGAATAGAAGAGAAAAGAACAAAACAATTAATTTATTTATAATTATTAGTTTATAATATATCATATGATTAGTATAACAAGATACATTATTCACTATTATATTTAACTCTTTTATGATTATTCTTTGAAGTTTTAGTTTCTAACTCTATATCTCTTATTCTATTTTCTTATTCAAGAGCAGTTATTTTTTCTTTTAAAAAACCTATTTCATATTCCAACTTCTTATTTATATTATATAACATTTTATTATCATTTTTATAATTTTTATTTTATTTAATTGATTCATCATGATTTTTCAGAAGTTTTTGAATTATATCATTTCTGTCTTTAAGTAAATTTGATAATTTTTTAAATTCTTTTTTTCTTTCATGTAATTCATTATTCAACTGATATATTTCATTTTTCCATTTTTGAATTTCATTATTTCTTCAAATAAGTTCATCTTTAAGATTTTTTACATTATTATTCTTTTTATTAATTATTTCATAACATTCATTAAGTTTTCTTTTAACTTTTTTAACTTCATTTTCAGTATTTATATTTTCATTCTTTGATGCATTAGAGGGTACATTTGTATTTTTATCAAAAGATTCATTATTACTTTCTTTTATAAGATCATTTTTATTTAAATCATTTATTTTTTCTTTAACAGTAGTTATTTTATTAACAGTTATATTTTTTAAAATCTTTCTTTTAATAAAATGATCATTATTAATAAAAGTAAAAAATTTCAATATCATTTGGTGTAAAAATATATGAATAACCAAAAGTTTTATCATTGAAATCAATATATTTATATCTGTTCAATGCACTTGATTCATCAAATTTACTAGAATAATAAACATTTTTATCAGATTTAAAATATATTTTTTCTTCATTTTCTTTAGTTAAAAGTTATTGAACTCATTCAGAAATTTGATTCTTATTTTAATAACTTTTTTTAGTCAACATGTTTGTTATAAAAATGAATTTTAGTATCTATTTTCTGAATTGAACATGAGAATTAGTTTCATGATTTTCTAAACATAGATGAATTAGTAATATTAAATAGATGATAAAGACTGTCTTACTATATAATCCTTATTAAATTTTTTATCTATCCTTCTTTTGGTAATTCTTATAATTACAAAGAACCAACAGACATTTATCTTTTTTTTATAATTGTATTTTTAAATTTGATATATGAATCTATTGTATAACATTAATATAAATAAAATACATTAATAATTAATAGTTATATTTGTATAATATGATAATTAATATAACTATCAAGTGTATTAGTACATCTTATTCTATAGATAAACCAATAATTCTTACAAAATACTTTATTAAACAAATCTGTAAAGCTTACATCTTAACTATATAGGCATTATAAAAACATAGTAATAAATAGTTATATTTTAATTAAGATATTTATTGAAGATTCACTTAGCTTTATTTCAATTATAACTAAAAACCTTTATATAATATTACTATTTTTAGATTTAACTAACTAAAATCCTTTAAAATTAAAACTTTTATTAATAAGCTGTTAATATATTTACTATTTATATTATTTATCTAATCTAATATCCAAATACTACTTATTTTGTTACAACTTATCTAATTTTCATTCTTATTATACACTTGTGCCAACTCATTCTTGCTTAACTAAATTATTCAAATTTCTTTTAATCAAATTATTTTTACCAATTTATCTGATCTTAATACTTATTAAAAATATGATTTAATTAATAAAATTTTTTGTTATACAGTTTTTGATCTTTTATATATACTATCTAATACATTTTATTTTAACTTTATTTTTAAAGAATTTATTTTAAATTATTCTTAGCAACAATTTAAAACTTTAACATCTTATATAAAACTGCTTTTTAAGTTATTATTAACATTTTTTTAATATTAATGAACAATTATATGAGTAATTATAGAAAACATATTATATTTATTTTTTTAACTAGAAAAAAACAATAAAATAAACCTTAATCTCAACTTATTAATAAACCTTTACTATTATTTGATCTAGCTACTAAGTATATACTTTCTTAAAAAAACATACTTACTTATATTTTGCAAACTTTTTAATTAATTATATATTTACTTTAGCACATGTCTTCTTATTAGTTAAACAATTTACAATATTAATATTTAGTCCATTTTATGAATTAAATATAACATATTATCAAATTAAATATTAAATATCTAAATGTAGATAAGCTTTGATCACTCTAGTAGGTTGAGATTATAGATAAATTAGTTTGAGCTTTTATTTATATAGGTAATTTTTAATTTATTTGTTTGTACAAACAGTAGTAACTGTATAATTAGCAGTTGAATAATTAGTCCTAACTGCAAGTGTTATCTTAACCAAATATATATATTTGTAACTATTTTAAATTATTAATAAAGATATAGGCAAGGCTTATCTTAATATTAAACAAAAAAACTTATATTTATATTCAATAAACTTACCCAAGATAATTTTCTAATAACATACAAATATTTATATTAATAGAACATAATATAATAACATGATAACAATAAAAATATTATTCTAATATAATATTATTATATATTAGAAAATATCTTGCTACATAAAGATTACTAGATTAATACAATTAATATACTGTATATGATTGCTAATTACAATACATTACTTGTAGTTCAGCCTAATTTTATACAAGAATACAATATTGTTATTAATAGATTAAAGCACAATGACAAGCTACATGTTAGTGTAAATCTAAATTATAACAAAATAAACTAACCAAAAAAAAAATCAATATCAACATCAATAGTAAATTCTTATGCAAAATTGATAACAGGTAGAATCTTGAATAAAATGAAGCTAAAACTTGACCTGTCTAGGGTCTCCTCTTTATCTGATAAAAAAATTAAGAATCTAATCAGACTAATGCTAAACATTGGCATCATCACGAGGTACGATCATCCAATCAGATACCAGGAATTGCTCACTTCACTTAACTTGTCGGTACACCATACCGCAAGATCAAAAATTTTGTTGGAATTACTCAACCATTAAAGAATTATCATTAGTCACTGGAGTGAAATTTGTTGGCTATACTTCATAGCAGAAGTCTGATTGGCTAATAAATTCAATTTAATTTTACATTATTTATAAAGTTTAGAGTTACTTTGTAAAAAAATAAAAACCAACTATAATAAAGTAAAAAAAAATATAGAAGGTTTTATTAAGCTGTAGGACTCCATAGTCAAAAATAAGATCTAATTCTCGTCCGTTTAAAAAAATTAGCTAGTAATAAATTGATTTTAGAAATTATTACTATAATACATTTTTAAACGGATGAGAATTAGATCTTATTTTTGGCATTATTAGTTTTCGTTTTTTTAAAAAAGTACTCTAAACAGTATAAATAATGTAAAATTAGAAAAACGGAAACCGTTATAAGTCCGGAGCGAAATCACATGAGATTTGTTGTGTTGCACAAATATGCAAGTGGAGACAGACGGAAAATTCAAAGTTGCGTTTCTGATATTCTTGTTATAGATAAATCAGGAACGATACTTTGGATGCATCAAAAACGTAACTTTTGTATCACTTTGCATAGTAATTAAGCGTCCTCCGCTATGTTCTGGACAATTAAATTGAATTTATTAGCCAATCAGACAAACTTCTGCCTATGAGGCGATACTAGGAAGATTGATTGTCGGAAGCTCTCCTATTCGAGGTGACATTATAAGTCATAATAACTAATTTTTCACACATTATATTGTTGCTATTTAATTCAAAAAGCTTATTTTTCAACAAATAGATGATACTGTATTCAACAAACTATAAAATAATTAGAAAGCTGAACTTGACTTGTCGATTTAAAAGTGATAGCTATGCTTTCAAAATAATCCTTACAAAAGTAAAGTTTTTGTTAAGATGAATAATAGCAAACAAAGAAATATTTTGAAAGATGAATTGTTGATATTCGCTGTATTTCGACCTAGAAAGCTTTGTGGACTTGCCTTTAAATTTACAGTATAAAATGAATGCGAGTGACGCAAAAATACTTTTCGGAATTAATAATGTCCTTAAAATTTAACTTTCACTAATGAACATTTTTTGATTTTTATTATTAGGATATGCGCTAGAATTATTCTTATTTCGTGTTAAGGGTTAGGGTAATTTGTAGAAAATTTCTTCTAGGATCAATAATGTATTATTAACTATATATTGCATACGCATTTGCTATCGCATGTACGTACCTTTTTTAAAAGTCTATACTAACTTACAATATTAGCCTATTTTGAGTTGCATCACAAAAATAAGTTGTATCATATGATGTGTGGTACTTATGTACTGTACATATGAAAATTTTTAACTGCACATGTAAAAAACTAGTTTTATATAATTGAATTAATAAACATTTCCATAAAAACTAGTATACATTAGTTATTCCTTTAAAATATTATTTTCCTAAAAAATAAAGACTACATATATAAAGCATCTAATTATTTTTGAATTGAACTAGATAAATTGATATATAAAAAATGCAACCTATTTATTGCGGTTGTTCATTATCATTACTACCCGATATTCGAATAATTTTAACTTCTTTATCTTTATTATTTTTTTTACATTTTCTATAGAATACAAATGCTAATACACCTGCAATAATAACAAGTATGACGGCAATAATAACAACCACAATAATGCCTATATTTGCATCAATATTTTTACCATTAGGTGTATTAGATGATGTGGGTGATGTAACAGATTTATGTGTCGTTGAGTTTACCGACCATACATTAGTTTGTATATTAAGAGTATATATATTATAATTGAGACTATTGATAATAGTATATTTATCTGTAAGATCAAAGATCCCATTATTAGATGTAGCACCTGTATTAATTACAATGTAATAAATAATTAAAGATGAAAGTATTTATTATAAAGTACTATATAAATTCAATAGAATGTTACCGAGTGCAAGTATCATATGAGTTCCATTTGTTGCTGCTACATGACCAGTTAAGTATTGTGGAGCATCCGAGCTAATTTCATTAGAAGTCCATGTATATGGTGAAGTATTCGTATTCAATTTTGCCATTGTTGGAGTAGGTGAATTTTTAATATTGTTTCCACCATAAATTATAATAGTGCCATCTTGTGCTGCAAGTTTTTAAATAAAAAAAAGTTAGATTTGGTATAAAAAAAAATCAAATAAAAATCAAATAAATTATGGAATACCTAGGATTGCTGTAAACAACTCACGCCCCTGAATAATGTCGCCAGTTGCACTCTAGGTTTTTTTTAAAATAATAATAATAATAACAACAATTAGATAATTTTATTGGATGATTTAATTAAATTATTGAATGCTGTATACCATCGTTGACCAGCTTCCAGATATTGTATTATAAATCGGGATCTGGTTACGTTAATAAAACAGATAATGAAGTTAAAAAGTATATTATTTACAAACGAGCACTCAGTCTACAATGTTTTATCATTAATCAGTTTATGTTTACTAAGAATTCATTGGCAGTTCAATTCACTAACAAGTTCATTACCGATAACCAGCATAGAAAAGAGTTATGATATATAGTCACTTAACCCTACTCTTTAAAGGGATGCTAAATTATATAGAAACCTTATGGTGTTGCTTAAATAATCCTTTGAACAATTATTCGTATCAATGAACTAAACTGTCTGTACAATTATTTAGTGAAATAATACGTCGGCATAGTTAATGTCGTACGTATATGAATGAAATCCAGGATACCAAAAACCTTTCTCCACATGTTAAGATAATTATTATACAGTGTACACATAATAACATTACCTGTGCCATATCAATATATCTACGAGTAGAGCCATCAACACCCCCAATATAAAGAATTTCTCTACTAGGTAAAAATATTGAAATCATGTTAAAACGAGTTGTTGGAGCATTCACGGTTGAACCAACAGACCAAGAATAAGTGATAGTGTCGAAATAGTTAATGTCATTAAAAGAAGTGTTTGTAGTAACATTTGTTCCTCCAAAATACCAAATCATTCCATTTTTATCAATAACAGCAGTTGCTTGGGTTCTACTTTGAGGTATAATTCCATTTATATCCGTTGGATACCATTGATTATTAGATATATTATAAGCATAAACTGTAGAATAATTGATTAAAAATACAGTATTGTTGCCATTAAATACGGCATTAGCAGCTGAAACACTAGTAGGTATATCAGTCAAAAGAAACCATGGGTTTGGTGTACCAATGAGTGATATATCAAGATATATTGCTTGGGTAGTCCCTATTAATATATATATATATATATAATTTAATAATATGTGACAAAAAACTGTAAATGTAAATGCTAACCGAATCATCCGAATCATCCAAATCATTGAATGCTAACCTATTATTCCGAAAGGGTCGCCACCAAAGACATATAGCTTGTTATTAATAGTGACAGAACAAGAATAACTACGACCAGCCGGCGATATAGGTGTTGCACCATTAGATGTAGTAATGAACAAGGTAAAGATAAGCACTAAATATGATAAACCAACTTTCATGAATATATTCATTTTGAATCTAGTTTTTGTATTTGAAATTAGGACGAGTGTTCAATTTATTTATTTTAAACTTGTCATGCAAAAATTTCTTATTTGTTGTACGTACATATGTAAATGAACATTCCAAAATTAGTGTTTTGCTTTGTACTAGAGGTTTGAACCGATTTTATTATCTATCCAAATTAGTTTACCTAATTTGATGATTAACTCGGATTTGTGTCAAGCAAAATTTCATGTGGATTGATTTTCTTATAGTATCTGTAACTATGACTTATATTTCGCAACTTAATTACACAGCATTTATCTGAAGACTTAATTTTATTTCTATTTTCAATTTGTTTGAAGAAACTGTGGTAAAAAAAATATTACTCTTATTCACTTATAATAAATATGCATAAATTTTCAATATAATATAAATAGATTTTATAACAAAAAGGTTTCGCTTAAATTCATTCATGACAGCTCTTATCGTATTCTTCGAAAAATAACCAACCTTTTATTATATAAATACTAGTTTGTTTTTTTTTGGTTCGTATTATTCAATTATTTATTGGCAATGACATTACATAACTGTAATTTTTTATTCTGTAATGTTGGTTAAATTGACTGACAATTGCAACGAGCTTTTCCTTTTCCTTATTCATTTTATTTGTAAGCATCTGTTCTTGAATTATCAAACTTTCTTTTTGCATCTAACACATTTCCTATGGCTATTTGTTTCGAATAAAGTCTTTAGTACCCTTATATTTCAAAGAAAGGATATGATGTTTATTATGTTTTATTTTGCTTATAATATTGTATATTTGTTTTTAATAACGACAGCATATTTAATGATATTACATAGTAATTATATTTTCTACCGTTAACTATTTCTTTATTAAAGGTCAGCTACATTTTAAATCAAGATGTTTAGCATCTAAATGCTGGTCACAATTTAAATTTAATTTATGATTAATGAACTTAATTTTAGTAACTTATATTAATACGCAATAAATAGAAACTGAAGAAACTGATCTAAAACATAATAAGCTTGTTTGTAATGTTTTAAGTCAACAAATTAAAACCAGTTTATAATCATAACGCAGAAATAATGAATAAAAAATTATGAAAAAAAATAAATTAAATTAAAAAAAAAAAAATATTTGACAAGCACGTAGTTATCTACTAAGCAGTCGTCATCAACTACAGTTTTGAACTAGAAAGAAATCCACTGGACTTTTCTATTTCATATTTTAAGGCACCTTGAATATTGGCATTACCGGTAATTTCAACTCAAACTCTTTTCCTTTTGTGCCAAAATATGTTCCTTCGAAGCCAGAATTTCTTAAGAAACATAATACAACATTGATATCTACTTGCTCCATAGTTGCTATAGATCCATCTTTCCTTAGACGATCTGAAAATCCTTTAATTTTTGCTGTTGCAGTAAATTTAATAACCAAATTAACCTTGTGCAAATTATTTTAACCTCGACCTCTTCTTTATTTTGCATTTTACTTAAATATTTTCCAGAAATATTAATCTCATCTAATTGTACTTTTTTAATAGTTTCTAAAGAAGTGTTTTTATTATCCCACTCGATAATTTCAGGTAAATTTCCTTTTACACCAACATATTCAGCTTTTATATCAACATCAAGTTTATCTAAAAAGATATCTCCTTGCTTTTATTAAAAGACCAAGATGTGATATTTTGCATTTTTTCAGATAGATTAATTTCTATCTTGCAAGTATTGCCACTATTTCTTGAATCAAAAATAATAAAAGGAACTTTAGTTGCATAAGAATCTAAATCAGTAATCTTTTTGTCGTACTTAAAATTTTCAGTATCAGCTTTAAGTTTATAATCGGCAATTTCAAATTTCCATAACTGGCTTGAGTAAAAATCTTTATCTGGCTTGGTAAAATAAGAATAAAAGCGCACTGTTGAATATTGACCCCAAGTATCCAAGTAACATTTATTCGAAATGTTTTGTATTTGTACTTTTCCTGATTCTGAAATAACTTGATTTAAAAATGTCCATAATTGTCTTGAATAATAAAGGCTATCATGATGATGTTTTTTACTCATACGACATTCTGAATTATTTTCTCCTTCAAAGGTATCTAAATAATTTCCATCAATGGAAATTCTATATATTCTAGGATTTGACATTTCTTCAAAAAACCATATTTGCCTTGAATAATTGTAATTTCGGTAATAAGATTGCCAATTTAGATTAACATATGAACCATGATTTCTTCCTCCATTATCTAAATAGTACCCATCGTGTGTTATCTTACAAGGAATTCCTGTAGTAATATTTAGATCTTTACCACCGGTAATGTGCACATAATCATTAGGAATTAATGTATCCATTTTGTTAAGTACAGACGTAGTAAAATCAATGGTTGTAAGGTTGTGAGCAGGCCTAGTTGTGGGTTAACGGGTGATAAAATATTTTCTGTAAATTTGCTTTTAAAGAGAATTTATTGTGCAAAATTCATATCATACTGGCCAAAACATAAAATATTATATAACGCTAATTTAGAGATGGCAGAAATATGATCAATGTTTATGATTTAAATGTCTAAACAAATTATTACCAGGAATGGAGTATGGTTTACGAGAAAGTTAAGTGGTGTGTCTCTTTTGTATCTGATTATTTCTGTATTCGTATGCTGCGTGGGGCTTTGCATGGATTCACTATTTTACAAACTACTATCACTATAGTTATGTTGCGTACGGGGCTTTTCTGTCTATATTGACACGAGCGAGACGGCGAGTCAGTCGCTTCTCAATCGGATATGTCGTGTATAGTGTTACGGCCTAAACCCTTTACTGAAATCCGAAACGTTTCGACTTTTGAGTTTCGGTTTCGCCCAAAATCCGAAACTGGGCGAAACGTCCGAAGCTGGTCGAAATGTCCGAAACTGGGCGAACCTCCGAAACTGGGCGAACCTCCGAAACTGGGCGAAATGCCCGAAACTGGGCGAAACTAGGCGAAACTTGATCAAATTTCGATGCAACGATTTTTAAATGTCATGTGACTGCTGCACCTAAAATCGACCAATGGAATTTCTAAAAGTCCCATTGGTCAATTTTAGGTGCAGCGGTCACGTGCTTTTGGAAATTCCATTGGTCGCAAAACTTACGTTTTTGAGACTCCTGCACTTACTTTTTTGATACTCCTAGATGTACCCTAAAATCTTATTACTTTT